ATGCTGCCTATATAGGTGAGAGAGACTACTTCCTTTAAGTTTCTCCCATTGATAGTGATTGGAGCTTGTTGTTGGTGGTGGTGCTGTTCGTTGGATATCATCATCACCTCTGTCTTCTCTACGCTTACTTGAAGTACCGTCTTCGCTGCCTCACCTCTTCTGTCAACTTGTTGGCCTTTGTCTGTAGATCTTCAAGTTTGCGTGACAAGTCATTGGCGAAATCCAAATCTTCCAAGATCTTCTCCCCGGTTCAGCGTGCCCGCCTATTCTCGCTCCTCAGTGTTTATTGCATAACCCAGTCGGCCACAATCAGGAAGATAATGGATGATAAGGGACAGCCTTGTCTTACTCCTGTGTTCACTTCAAAGGCATCATTGAGCTTTCCATCGTGAATTATTTGGCATGTGGTGTCTTCATATAGCTGTTGAATGAGGTTGATGAAGATTTGTGGCATTCTGTAGTGCTTAAGCAGTCGCCAAATTACCCATCGGTCGACGCTATAGAAGGCCTTTTCAAAGTCGATGAAGTTGAGCTAAAGATCCGGTTGTCTGCCATTCTATGCTCTGTTCTATGATGATATTTAGTGTAGCGTTGCAACTTGGTCCGCACATGACTTGTACTTCCTGAATCCAGCCTGTTCTGGTCGTAGTTTTGAATCCAGCGCATCCTTTAGTCTCTCCAGGATGATGCGGCATAATATTTTGGTTGGGGTGGACAGGAGAGTGATTCCGCGCCAGTTTTTGCAAAGACTTAGGTCACCCTTCTTTGGGAGTTCCACAAGGTAGCCATCCTTCTAATCACTCTGCATGTGCCTTCCCTTCCTTCCAGACCTTCTGAAGTAGTGGCGTGAGCACGTCCGCTGTTGTCTTTGCCTCTGTTCTTCTGGTGGGATTCCGTCCAGTCTTGCTCCTTCCAACATTTCAGTAGCTTTATGGCGTTCAGAACTTTGACTTTAGTCGAAGCGCTTTTGTTCACTGGTAGTTCTATGGCTGCAGGTGGTATTTCTGGACGAAGTGCGGGTGGTGGCCGACTCATGAGTTTTTTGAAGTAGTCAGCCCATTGTTTCCTTTGTCTCTCTTCTTTGGTATTTAGATTTCCTTCATCATCTTTGATTGGTTTCATCCGTGTTGATCTCATCCTAGATAGTAACCTGGTTATTTGTTACAATGTTGTCAGGTCTCTCCTACCAGCAGCATGTTCTGCTTCACTTGCCAGTATGTCGTAGAAGTGTCTTCTATGTTTGCGCGCACTCTTCTTCACTTCTTTGTCCAGTGTTTTATACATTGTACTTGGTTCCTCTCCTCGTTGTGCATACTTGCACTGGTTTATCTTCTGCTTCTCCTTTCTTACAGATCGAGATAATAAGTGACTGCGAGCAATCTACGATTCTAAAGTGACAGCTGACGCTTTAGTTATTCCGACCAGTAGTCCATGTAACGGAAAAATGATCTGGAAATCCTCCCTCATCGCCCTGTTTGATTGTAATGACATTTATTTGAATGGTTTTACCCTCGTTATGGATGGCGTATCTCTGACCCTAATGTAATGTTATCTGGCTGTTTGATTATCTACTTTGACTTTGTACTCACTATTTGCCTTTGTATGATTGAGACTTATGATGAATGTTTCACTTTCCATATTATGTGACGCTGGACTGTTGACAAGGTGGTGTTGTTTTGCTGCGCCCAACATTTTGTTTTGGCTCAACCCACGGTTGTACTGTGATTTGATTGTTTGTCTTTTGACTGTCTACTGGAAACGTTTATTTGTTGGTTTGATTCTGGTAGACAGGGTCTTGATCCCTTTTGTCGGGAATATTCTTGTTCACTGTCAGGTACTTAACGATTGTATTTGTTTGACCGGTTCTTACTGAATAGTACTTATTTGCAACCGGGAACGTTTCGACTGTATAGTTACCCGATGGCACCGTTGGGGTATTTTTGTAATTTTGATATAACGTATTGTTGCTTTGAAAGTACCACAGATTTTTTGACGGATCTACCACTATTATTATTACTAGTCCCTTGGGTTCCTAATGGAACATAGGGCTTCAGTAGCACGCCTCCAGTGACCTCTGTTCTCTGAGATCTTTTGAACCTGGTCCCACGACAGCCCAGAAGCTCTCATTTCCTCCTCGCACGACCTCCTCCATGTCACCCTCGGACGTCCAACTCGTCGGTTCCTATGGGGATTCCACTCGAGGGCATGACGTCCCCAGTCGGCCTTCTCAGTGCATGCCCAATCCACCTCCACTTCCTCCTGCATATTTGTTGCGTGATAGGTTCTTGGTTGGTTCATTCCCAGAGCTCCTTGTTGCTTATTCTTTTTGGCCATCTGATCTTCAGTAGCGAGCGTAAGCAGTTGTTGATGAATGTCTGTAGTTTATTGGAAATCCCTTTCGTGACGCGCCAAGTCTCTGAGCCATACAGAAGCACTGACTTCACGTTGGTGTTGAAAATCTGGATCTTGTTCCATATACTGAGTGCCTACATGGTTTACTACAAACCATGTTTTTTATATTTCGATCAAATTTTTGACTGTCACTCGGGGGAGCTGTACAGTAGAACGTAGGAACTAGTCAGATTTGCGTTAGTTGGCACCACTTAGTCATTTCCCTCGTCCAAGCCAAGATTATTGAGTTTTGGCTGTTACAGTCCCATGAAATATGTCTATCCAGGTGGCAATAAAACAGATGACATTCGGTAAGGCGTCTAGTATGTAGTGGTAAATAACATATTATCCCAGCAGTCAATCCACTTTTGAAAAGCCACTTCCGTTCGCAGCCACAGACATAAATGAAACACCTGATTTGTATCGTGACACAGTTTTCACATGATGCTTGATACACACAATTTTGGGTCTTCTTTTTCATCAGTAAACATGCTCGAACGAGATGTCTGCGAGCTAGTTGCCGGCAGTTATTTGATTTCTAGCGCTGTCTACTGGTCAGGTTCGTAGTGATTTTGCTTTCGCGCTACATTAGGATGACGCCCTAGAACCATAGGTGTCATAGCACCCACTCATCAATAGGGTTCTCCTGTAACCATTAGGAAACTGTTGTTCCCTGTACGATTAAAGCCTTCGTTACTCAGCGTGGAAATCGAAGACTTTATTGCTGAGTGATGCTTGTCGATACAATAATCTGCTTACACACTTCAGTGTCAAAATTTTTTACGAGCCTCACCTCTTCTCACTTACCAGAATGATTAGCTAAAGAACTTTCAAAACTTGGGTAGTGCCCGTCTTAGGATTTGATTTACCACAGAACATCTATTTGCTCCTATGAAGGACTTCAGTGTTCACAACAACCAATCATCTGCAGCTAACTACCCCAAGTTACATCTTATTAATGTTATTATTATTATCTTATTAATGTTATCTGTAAGACACCCTCCGATTCTTTAGGTTGTTTAGCTAGTTTACTTATTTTAAACCTAGAAGTATTTGCTGCCGAAAAAATGAACTGTAAGTGTATAAGTAGATATTCCCAAAGTTATTACACCTAGTCTCCGCGATGCAACAGAACACCCCAATTATAACTGAAAAAAAACAAAGAACATACGAAGTCGTGCCTCTTAAGTACGTCACTATATCAACACCAATGCTTCTTTTTTGTCAAGTTGAATTACAATTACCAATCAATTCATTAAAATGCAATTATAATATTCATGAGAAGTTCCCTACTCTCTTGATAAAATATATGTTCTAGGTAAGTGAATCTCCTGGGAGTCTAAATAGCAGTCAGTCACTTTAACGTAAATGGCTTACGTAAACATATCATATGTACAAGGTTGAATTTTATTCATTTACAACTTCAAAGCTCTATCATAATCACTTAAAGAAACTAGGATGTATACCTAGGAAACACATATATAATCTAGGACGTTCATCAAAATTCACCTTCTCAGTTTGTTCCTGAAATTATTTTTATTTCCATTTGAAATTGTATCTATCATTGTATAGTGACTTAAAATTATCATGCCAACGGAATCAGCAAGTTATAGCATTCCAGGTTTTAGTCGAGATGACGCTTTATCAAGCTGCCAACATTTTATGAAAATATTTTTTGAAGTCAACAATGCCAATACAAAACCTATTTAAAAGTCAAAGATGAGACTCGTTTATAACATTTTGCAGCTGACTTAAACACAAGAGGATGAAGTAATATTTGAAAAATAAACGAGACCTAATTGAGACAGTTAAGGCTCGTATGCAGAATACTTGTAACTAGTTTTCAGTGCCATATAATGGACTGGGTCCACGATTACGTAAGTTATCGCCTACACAATTAACTGTTGGATCAATTAAAACAACCACTCTAATACTGTCTGATATGTGGAATTATATATAAGCATCTTTCAGTCAACCACTAACTAACCTAGTGAATATTCCACGTTCTAAAAACCAAGCAAATTCTTCTCCCTAATGAACTAGTTTATTCAACTTTATGAACTGTTAAATAATGCAAAATATGAGAATATGACGACTACATTTTGGTAAATTCAAGTCAGATTAAAATTAATTTTCGGTGAGAGAGTACTAATCTGCCACTGTTCATAAAATTATATATATATATATATATATATATATATATATATATATATATATATATATATATATATATATATATATATATATATATATATATATATATATATATATATGAGAGTAAAGCCGGAAGAGGATTTAATTGAAAACAATATTGTTCGCTTATATGTCTTGTTCAGAAACACAATATCACCGAAACAGAAGGTTTCATATTAAAAACATGAGGAATCTATGTTAAATCAGTACATACACTTAGTAGTGAAAGAATATGTCAGTAGTTAACATATTACAAATTGACTCTTTTAGTAAAACAATTATCACAACCATAAGGAAAATAATACAAAGAATGATGATAACATTCAATGAGAATTTGACAAATGATTAAAGTATTCCAAAGTTTTAAATGACAGCCATTTGTTCAGGTAGAACCAATTCAAGGAGAATGATAACCATTATAGATTAGGAAATGCGTAGTCCAAAAATTTGACAGCAACTTCGTAACCAAGAAAGCATGCCTAAATGTTCAGTAAATATAGATGCATGAGTTCTAACAAATGCACAAAATTTAGCATCATTGACTAAGTTTTAGAGAATATAGCCCTCATAAACTTAATAATTTCAATTACTATTTGATCTACATGATACCAATAAGTTTGTCAACTGATTAGTGACGTTCACTAGACATGGAACAAAGTACGCCATGCACATATAATTCAGTTTTATTCAAGAAAGACATTCAGCTGGGTATTGTTAAATTCACTTCGAAATAATACAAGATTGAATAGATCGGGACAATTAAAACACCGACTGTATGTTGCAGTTCTATGATCTAAAGGAATTGAGAATCAAATGAAGGCCATTCTTCAATTACTTTTCATGAAGAGTTTATTTTCCAAATGTGGTCTCTACACAATAGGAATACTTTTTATTGATCACCTTCAAGTAAAACAAACCCCGAAAAACAACAGAAATATTTCTGTATCTTAAGTCTTATTAATTTATAATGACGTAGAAATAACATTTTGCCGCCAACAATTTTGCAGGTTGGAATTGATCATGGACTGACATTAGTTGGAGGAACATTGGTGTGCACTGCTGAGGAGTCCCGTAATAGGACAAAAACAGCTGTCCAGCGCTCCCAGGTTTTCATAATTTCCCTCCAACTGAAATTAGCTAGTAAATCTCCACAAATCTCCAGATAAGACTATTCTGGCGCTCATTGGTGACCAGCTTCAAGAAGTGATTTCCGAAGTTCCAATGAGAAGTCGTGAACAGCGGAGCCAACCAAGTCTAATATACGGAAATTAACTCAACGACATTGGATGGAGGTCATGCTATATCGTCGACTGACAGAAGTACGAAACACGGAACACTGGATTCCGACCCTGTGGCTCAATGGTAACGTGCTGGCCGTGGGACCTGAAGGTCCTAGGTTCGGTTCTTGTTGAGGTGAGGTCAAGGGGCTTGCACTGCCGAGAAGTCCCATACTATGACGAGACCCGTCTCCCGTGCCCCCACGTCCTCAATGTTCCTCCAAATGATGTCAGTCCATGATGAATTCCAGGCTGAAATAAATTAATAAATCTTTACAAACCTTCAGATTGAATTTCGCAGGTATTTTTTCGAAACATTTTCCGTTGATTTCCCAAATATTGAAAGATTTTTGTGATTGCCTTATCAGCATTTCTAGTCAGTCAGCGTACATTGAAAGTAATGCTGTGAATTCTCTGTCAATAAAGCCTGATAGTCGAAGAAAACAGAGTGGTGGAAGGTATACACGGATTCTTACACACAAGCTGACGGTGGCACAAACACGTATGCAGAAAGAGATAACCAGTCGCTGTTCTTAATAGGTTAAACAATCATAAAAGTCGTCAATGTAAAAAGTGCCAATGAAGTTTTGAAGTTGAAATACAAATAACTCACTCAATACAAAAGTTACACTGTTATAAAAAAAAAAACACAACTTACAGCATTCGCAGGAAATGCACGGAGCATAACAGGGATCACGCCTCGATAAAGAGCAAAGAAACCTTCTCTTGCAATCAGTTCAGAGAATACCGACCGGATACCATTTGGGTAAGAACCTTCAGGAGCTACATTAGAGAAATAAACACACAATATAACCATTATTATTCGATAACCTTATTCACGAATTATTCATCGAATGAACATCGAATTCAAACTCTGGTGACCTTTTTAGTTTTAGGCAACTATGTAGTATCACAAACTCTCGGATGATAACTACGGAAAGCTATGACTGCTGAAAAATTATATTTCCTTTCGGAATACTAAAAACAGACTAACAACAACAAATAGGTTTGATTATCGGCATTATGTAAAAAAAGTTAATGCTTTGTGTTGGCTTTCAATACAGCATATCCTACCTAGGTAAATTACGTACACCTACTTATTAAAAATCTTATTGTTGTTTATATTTTTCCGTGTTTCCAATCTCTGCCAAATTTATGATTTGTCTTATGAGAGGGATTGTGTTTTTAGAACCAGCCTGTAAGACGACATGGGACCTGGGATTATTGGGTAACGATCCAAGTTGCCATATCTCATATCAATACATCAACACAGAAGGCACAAAGATGAAAGTAATCACAAGCGGCAGAAATTCGTCAAAAGACAACAACGATAATAAAATTGAATGTGACGATTAACACGAAGATGATGTGTGGTGTGTGTGCATGTATGTTAATAAGTTGGTGAAAAACACTGACTACATACTTATATACTTTGATTGCTTCCGATGAGTATTATATAAAACACCTCACGATTCGTCAACAACTGATAGCGAGGGTATTTACACTCCTGAATCAAGACCATAAAACCAAAGACTTGAAATTCGCCAAACCAAGTGTTAATCACCAAGAATTTAAAACGGCAAGTCAAGTCCTGCTAAATGCTGTGAACCATTCTGTGTAGCACTCTGTATTCATCTTGTAAGAATGTGATGATTGAAATTTGAACATGTTAACAACTAGGACGCAGATTCGCACACTTTACTATAGGAAGCAGTTCAGTGTAGGTAATTCAAGAATGTTCAACATTATATGTAAATTAGACAATACTTATTACAGTTTCTTTTGTGGTAAATTATAATTTTATGGAAAGAAGAGTGGGTATATGACTTGTGTATATCTTTTAAACGTATTATGCCGATTCCTTGCCTTGTTAACACTATAATACCATCAAGTTTACTATAAGAATAATGAACCAACAAACCACTGGTTTCAGCTTAGTACATTAAATATTTTAGGTGTTGTAAGTAATCATGAATGAATCACTATCATTCTCCTTCGACTAAATCATTATAAACTCCAGCGGGTTGAATGAATAAAACAGGCTTTGTGTTAGTGATCACGAAAAAATTTACAATCAGTAATCAAACAAAACTCCAAAAACAGGAAGTAGATTAGTTACCATCATCACTCTAGCAAATTATATTTGTCAATAGTTTCAAAATAAAAACCTCCATCATTCCTAATACTATTTCAACAAACTTATTTAGATGTTAGTTTGAGAAATTGCATGTGAAACTCACAAGATTTATTTCAATGATCATGCAATTTAACAATAGCATACAAGGTTACAAACCGCATCTATTAAGTTATACATAATGAAACTATCTGTTTGTCTGGGCCTGTGAGTAGTTGAAACAAGATCTCAGCATGTAAGTGTTTCGACCACTCGACTGAAGTTGTTTGAACATACTTTGCTCGACTGATTATTAATCGAAAATTCCCACAATACACATATACTCTAACATTTATCCGTTTCACAATCGGTTTTCAGAACTATATGTTATAAACGCTTTGAAATATAGCCCAATTTAAGAAATATAACGGTTAGTTTTGATGGAATGCAAGCAGTTGGAAAACTTTTGTGTTAAAACAGATAAGTAAATATTTATAAGCAGTTCTGTGTACTAAAACACATAAGTCAAGATGTAGATATGAATCTTAAGCTAGTCAGTCGTTGAAAAGTACCATACAGAAAAAGACGATCTCTTTCAAACGATAAACAAAGGCAGTATTGGTTATCTCTTCTTTCTCTTACTATCCATAGCAATGAGATCTTCAAGTGCCCTTATATCACTAACTATTTAAACTTTTGAAATGACAAACAAAGCAACTGACTGGTAAATATATCCCACGGGAAATGAAGAGTGATAACAGTGTAAACGAGTCAGAGCTTAAGATGGGGAACATTTCTGACACCTTCTAATGTTAATCGATTTATCAAGTGATGATAATTATGCTCAATCTAAACAGGTACGAAAAACAACTAAGTCACCTACCCTTTTTGCTTTTAAAAGTGAGAGGATAAAGAGTAAAGATTTAACTTCATGATAAAAACACGTTACGAGTAATCTCAATGTTTCAATATCCAACATCAACTTGTCCTGCTAAAAATATCTAATTCAATGAAATACATAAATAAGCTACATTGATGCGATGGTAAGATAAGCTAAAAGGCTGACAATTCCTGAAGTTTGAAAGCATGAGGTAAGATTTTCAAGTGCAAATCACAGATATTTATTTTGTAGATGATAACTATCGTTCCAGTTATATCTGTAAGAATATTCCCATTCAACTTTGCTTTATATGTACTGATATGAAACATGCTGCTTACCTTCGATTTCTCAAGGACTATTATTTTATGAAATGTTTGATCGAAATAGAATACACAGACTACATGTTGCTGCCGAGCAAAGATGCTGGAAGGATGCAGCATTTTTTGGATGCGAAGGTCAAATATTGGATTTAGAGATGTTCTAGGAGTGGTCTGTTCTGCAACCTACTCTAGAGTTAGGAAAAGAAATGACTGACGAAGTTGAATCCATCACTTAGTTAAGGTACATCTAGCCCTAATGACAAAATTTCGACACTGATACATGTCAGTGTCATTGCCAAAGAAACATTTGATAGTCGATCAGCAGGAAAGTATACTTTATTGTAGTCCCATCTGTCTAACCTAAGTCTTGTGCTTGAGCATTATGATATATATAATGTAGTTAGTCAGAAATTATTACATACAATTATAAATGACAAGGAAGTTATAAATTATCAATCTGAATTTATGCTAAACTATTCGATATTTTAAAGTCATTGTTTAAACTTAATCATTACAACATGAAAACAATAACGAAACAGTAATTTACATCGATTATAAACAGATGAAAATAAGATGCAATTACATCATACATATGACGTAAAACTAAAATGTTTATATGCTAAATGAAATCCAACAAAGCACATTATGCAGCTGTTAGGTTAATCGATAGGGAACTGTGGTGAAAATACCTAGATTCGCAGATATTTTCTTTCTGGACAATATTCCGCACACAATGAGATCTTGAGGTAAGACTCAGATTCACACCGGATAAACTATTCTACTTACCAACTTCAGAAACAGATATGCCTAGTAGTTCATTCAATTTGTTTAAATTTCTGTAATAGCATCGCTTAAAACACTGACCAATATTCTAGACTAAAGAGTAAACAAAAAGTAAGGTTAACACATTCAAATCACTACATTTACCAATGAAAGTAGATTACTTTCATTGAATGTCAACACTGTCGATAGACAGTTACATGTTACAACAGAATGAACATAGTTGACGAATTTGGATAACTGATTGGCTAAATTTCTCATTTCAGATAAACATTCAACATCTCGCACATAGATCTTCATCAAAATCACCTAGTAAAATCTACTATTTAGGCCTCACTGCCAAAATGAAGGTGAAAAAGGGTAGATGTATGGTTACAGACTGCGGAATCTAAACTAGATGTACAAGTTACTAATGAGCTTATGATTGAATTTGAGCGCTATTTATGACAATGTCTTTCAATTATATTAACAAGCTAACACAGAAAGCAAAAGTGCACGTGCAATTCACTTAATACCTTACGATCAAACTGAAACACGGCATCAGTACATGAGATTCTCAACTGCTGATCTGAGGTGTGTAGGGGAATGTAAATTTTCTGGTTGGGGTCCGTGTGACATAGTCTAGAATTGAAAGTTACGCCGTAGTGTCTGGTCTTATGTTGATCCTGTCTATCAGTCCCACGAATTAAATGATCTGTTACCTGCAAACTGATTTACATTATGTGATAACCACTTGTAGACATAAGTAACACAAGATAGTAAGATGTCAATGAAAATTAAAGTTGGTCGAAACATAAACACAGTAAAATTTCAATGTAGTTTACTTCTTAGCTAAGAGTTACTTCAGTGGCGTCAAAATATATTCTAGTAACGAATGGAACATAAACATTATTCAAGGCAAGGCTTACCACTCTGTAAACGGGATTTTAAGACATCAGGAGGAATAGCCACCATCCAGTTGAAGACACCTGCCATTCCTCCAGCGAATAGCGTCTTCCCAACACCCAACTCATTATTTCTGTTAAGGTGATAAAAACGAAAATGTTTTTTGCAATAACATAGAATGCATAACATCTATAATGCTCTGCCTTACAGAACAGAGGACGGTAATCACCACCAACAACAACCGGAAAATATTAATAATAATGCAAATTAACCTAGTATAGATTCATGTACAAGGCTGAGTCACACTACTTGTCGGAAAAAGGAAGTGAGCAACATTAAAGAACTACAAGACAAAGGCAGACCGAGAAGCCTATAACAGGGACTAAAAGGATATGAGATAATATCATATTCACTACCCATAATGGAATTAAAGAGAGTCTATGAAGCCACTAAGACTGTTTTCCCAAAAAAATTATCACCTGATGAGGAAAACAGCAATGACATGTGTTCAGAAACTGTAAAGACATACAATGCAAAGACATATCTTCTCATTGATTGGTCACTCACTGCAACACTGAGCGACGCAGGTTCAAATCTCTGAGTGAACAGCGGTACTGTCGAGGTTGCAGGTACGCCTTACCGATCAGTTCCAGCAAGCACGGAAACTAAGTCCACGGCTTCCTGCCGACTCTCTCAGACCGATATATTGTCAGTTAATTGTCAAAACAATGAAAATTAGAAGTTGGCTGATTGCAGTGACCTTCTTCAATAGAAACATCTGTTAACATCCTAAAATAAACAATGCAGTTGAAAAATTCTACGCTGCGAGTGCGAAATGTAATGATTTTTAATCAATCATCTCATCAGAACAATAATTTTTAGTATTTACAACAGCTAAGATAATAGTCATTTTGGACAGAAAAGAGCAGCATGAGAAATCGAGAGGATCTTATTTGTCTAAAAATAAGGCAACATATACTGACCCCAATAGAATGACACAGTTGTAAGAGGAATGCTTAGGAAAACGAAGTGAAGATTGGGAAAGATTGTGATAGAGAGAAAACTCCTATAACAGAAAATAACATTTAGATGAACATCATAAGGTTGCACTGATTTGTCAGTTCTGCAGAAGTCTCTCAAAGCGTCAAGCTTATCAAACTACAGAAAGCTTCCTAGTTTTTTACATAAGAGATTAAGATGATATCCCATCCAATGTCTTGACTTTGAATCTTGTTGGGCGATGGTATTTATTCTTTTTATTTGACCGTTGATTTCTAAGAAGGATCCCTTGTGTATACAAGAAACACTGAATGAGCAATATTGTTAAGTGGATGTGAATCAGTTGACATGGTTGTCTGCTTTTTTACATTCATATGGTTGGGACAGGTGTTTCATGAACCTGGTTATAGCCTACTTTGGTGCGAAATGATAACAGCAGTAGGAATACTACAATAGACATTTTAGGGTGATATTATAAGAGCAGCACAAAATAATGTTTGATATTTTAAGCCACATACATATAGAAATGCCAGCTCCCGGTTGGTGTGAGACAAGCCTGAGAGATGGTGGGTAACACTATGCTGAAAAGTGAATATCTGGCCAGTAAAAATAATTCAAGATCAAATGTCTACTAATAGTTACCGATCGATAGTTGTTACCTTGACGTGGTGGTCGGGCTTGCAGATTAAAATGACCCTACGGGCATGTTTCCACAAGGTCGTACCATGCTAGAAATGTCATTCGGATAGTGGTGAGACGAAAAGCAGTTACCGTTACACAGTAAATTACAACACCATGATGGGGATCTGGGGGAAGGAAGTCGTACTCCTGGCTGGATGAAGTTATGACAGCAGTGAGTGTTTCTTGCGGATGACCAGCAGTGACACCCTGAAGAAAAGGTTGGCACTAAATATACCATAGTCTAATCTACCCCGCGACATACCGCTGGTGGCGATAAGCGTTCGTAGTTGGATTCGAAACTAACATAAATTTCAAGCTACTAAAAGAAGCTGTGTGACCGACCTCAAGCAGATGCTCCCTTTTTTCAGGGAAATCAAAGAGAACTAGCCTTCCACAGTGTGGGCAGCCGGAGACTTTCAACCGCCCGCGCGTTTCAAGTAGTAGACAAAACCGTTTAGAGTATAACTTACCGTCCTTAACTTTGTATCCTCCCTTGCCGTCCCTAGGGAGGTACCAATATTAAACCTCTCACTCGGAAACCATTGCCAACGATACAAGCCAGCGAAACACTATTTCTAGTCTTCTAAAATCCCGCTCAGTTCTACACTGGAGCTTTCAACGTTCAGAACCGATGCCTAATCGGACAGCGGGCATCTCTGGAATCTCCAGTCATGGATGTACGCCGTGTCTCTGAGACACGTATACAGGATCCGAGTTCGATCATTCACTTGATTTCATCTGACCAACGCGGTGAATCTAACAAATTCATTTTACGAGTTTCCGGAGATTCAATGCCTAGCTCTAGTGGACTTGCTGGCAGCATAGCATTAAGCCCCTGAGCAAAAAGTGTACTTTTCAACTGGATATCGGTCAACAGCCGCCAATATGCTGTCCGACTGAATTGATCTGTAAGAACCAAGAAGGGTCGCGGAGCTTGCCTATTCATAGCCTATTCATAATATCCACCTATGCACCCACCGACTGCAGTTCGGATGATACAAAGAACTAATTCTATCAAAACCCCTCAATTTTGTTACAGAAAGCAAAACTTTCAAGATATGGTCATAATATTAGGCGACTTTAACGCCAAAGGAGGTATCGGCTAGGTATCTACGGAATACCATACCAACAAGCCGAAAACGGTGATCATCTGTTGTAAATTTGTTCCAGCAATCACTTGTTTCTGGTCAGTATGAACTTCAAGCATACGAAGACACTGTCTACATGGCGTCCACCAGCATCAAACCAACGATAGACTAATCATACTGTTACAAGCCATCGTCGGAGAGGATCGGTAGAGGATTGCCGCTTTTTCTGCAGTACATAATTGGACTCCGATTACACATCAGTACGAGCACGTGTATGCCTAGGCCTTACTGGTCGAAGGAAACAGGTAGCAGTGAAACCTATATGTGCTCGACTGGACGATGAGAACGTCAAGTATGCATTTATCTGAATGTGACAGCAATCCTCAACCTCATGAGTAGTCGTTAAACTTCACATCAGCACATTTAGACAGAACGTAAGAAGATAAAAAAACAAGGAAGTAGATAAAATATAACCAAGATTTGCAAAGTTATATGAAGAGAGTAAAGGATGGCAAAACAAATAATGACGATTAGAATGAAAATAATGTTCACAGCGTCTAAGCCAATGAGATCGATTCTGATCCAAAACTAGTAAATCACGTAAATAACGAATAGTGTGATCTTGCTGCCTATAAGTACACCTTATTACAACGCACAATTTTATAACATTTTGAATTTACATTACGGAAAGTGCTTACTTCGAGTATGGATTTTTCAGTATTTCCTTTATCCATTCATAACTGAGAAAATACACTCCAGATGCGGGAACATCTACAGTAAACCAACAAAATTGTTTATAGGATCTACTCCGCTCAAAAACCACTGATATTTATTTTTTGAAAATGGAATAAAGAACTGCTGATAGCAACTCAATGCCAAACAAAGGAATACGGGTAAATTATGAGTAAATAAATGTAAGAAACCAAGTTTCGGTACTATGAAGCCTTTTCTCGATATCACTAAAAGCTAACAGGCTAGTCTCTAAAGCAAGCAATAAAAAACTCCTCTTATATTACGGTAATTAAACAGTAAGAGTATACAAAATTCAAGCATTTATTTTGGCTTCATTATTAAATAATGTAGCATCACAGTCTACAGCTTAGCACTAACTGATTGATAAATAAAACCAATTTTTTCCATTTTCAAAATTGTACAATGTATATCTATTTTGATTACCAATTTGCATTCTCACAATCGCCGATATTCTCTATATTAATGCAAAACCTACCCAAAGGGTAGTATAAAAAAAATTAAGTTTACTGGCTAGCTACTCTAATTACGAATATAACCTGTAAACAAAGTTTTTAACACTAATTACTGAATTCCTGTAACATTAAAACATACGCACAGCTGTCAAGTGTAGTAACAAAATCAATAAACAAAAACAGAAGACACAATAATAAAGTTGTGATATGATATAAACATAGAGAAAATATCCTCAAAAGTTAAGCTTCAAATTTCAAATGGAGTCGACTAAGAACAGGAATGCGTGAGGAAAGCGGCTTGCTTAACATAAGAATGTTTTACATTATCTACAATCAAATGACCGTTTCGTGAGCGTAATGGCGATTTGTATACAGATAGCTCAGTAGTCCGGTCTGCAACACCAATGTTGAGAGAGGAAGATTCATCTTTTCCAAAAAGCATGAGTTTAGGGTTGCGGATACGCTTAGCTGTTACGTTACCAAACGCAAGAACTGCATTTGGAGCTCGGTGCCGATTATATTCAAATGCAGTGTAATTAGGGTGATTTTATGTAGAAAGAAATGAGGTCACCGAAAAAATTGTTCTCCAGTGCTTTAATAAGTGGTTTCTAAAGAATGAGAGACACTAAACAGACAAATTAATTTAGATACCTGCCATTGAAGTGCATCAGTTTAAGTTGCCATACTTTATAGCAGTATGCGAAGAAGAACTAAATAATGAAATCGAAATACATTCACCAACCTCCAGCACATTCGTGTAGTAGGCAGTGAGCCACACCTACTGTATGAAGGCTGATGATACTACCTGGCTGCCCGAACTTAGGCAGGTGGAGCGGCGTTCGAACCCATGTTACACCGGTCGAGAGTTAAATGCATAAGCCAATGGTTTACAAGTCCCCAAAAAAGAAATACGTAGAAAGTGACTTTTAGGTCAAAAAAGTATGAGTCGAGAGAATAAATAAATGGTCAACGAAAGTGGAGAGGAGTGCATACATCTCTTCTACTGTGACCGGTTCTGAGCTACATCCAAAAGTCACAAACCATCAATTCCCATCTTTCCAAGAACTCGACTCCTCCCCACACGGTTGAGACCAACAGTTGAAAACTTCATGGACTGGTGCTACGTTTTGGTATGCCTACTTTAAACCCCCTTCTAAACCAAGTCTTCGGCTGACATGGCGCGTCGAGAAAGGCGGTACCTCAGCATATGCGACAAATGTCCAAGCTATCTCGGTTGGTATAGTTTGACAGCTTCATTGGTATCAGGGAGTAAAGGTAACGGAGGAGATGAACGTGAGGTAGGTAAGCTATGAGCAGTTGGGTATCGTATGCTACTGGAAGCGTGCGAATGGTTAGTACCTGTTAACAGAGTAGAACTTATTTTTCATGGTACGTGAACGAGAAAAGCGATTGGTAACAGTGGTGCATGTACGCAAAAAGCAAGGGACATTTGCTTGAGGATATTTATACACAGCCTTTTGAGAAATTTCGGAATAATATTTGATTTTGCTATATCTGGAAAAGAAGAACTTATACCGCCTGGGCAAGAAAAAAAGGCAGGGAGGAGTGTGGTGTCTTTTACGGTCATTTTCTCAGTTCCATTTGCAATAGGATGAAATGCTGGACACCTGCAAGAAACCCCATACAGCCACCAGTACGACTTCGCCCTCCCAAACCCCCCTTAACATAATACGTCCACACTATTACCGCAACAGCTTTTAGTCTTATAACTGTCTGACGGTTCTTCCTAGCATGACAAAACCTCAGACAACAATATTTCAATCAAGCTCGGAGCTCTGTTATTGCGATAGGCAAGCCTAAACTCCACACCCATGTAGCAACTATCAGATAAGAAACTGAGAGCAGTATATGTTGGTGATTTTGATAACTTTGCATCCCATTGAACACATCGCAATGCAGTTGTAAGCAACTCTCACATGGTGTTGATATTCTTACCATTTCCATAATAGCACTGTTTACAAGAATCGAGGTTTTGCAAAGCAAGAACAATCAACATTATGGAGTGAATCGAATTCATTCCATGTGCTCTAAATCTTCCACATAGGCACAAAATTTAAAATTTTGTACAGTAAGCTATCAGTGTCCAGCATAAGTCATCCAATGGTAAAATCGACACCAAATATCTTTCACATCTAAACATCAATACATATATATGGGAACAGAGATGAATGACAAAGTTCACAACCTAATCAACCAATACAGGGAACAAGTAACAAAATAAGACTACAAAATCGATCAATTAACATTAAAAAAAATACGGCGTGATAATAGTACAGGAATATGTTTACAGTCCAACCCTTACTTACGCTTATATATTCCAGTTGCGAGAAAATTATGGTTTTGGATTGGATTATACACTAAATCCAACAAGCAAGTCACAGGTTCAGCCCTTATTTAAGGTGTCGAAGGCCATAATTCACTAATCTGTAGGCGCTTGCTAGGAACTAAAAGTTACTTCGTAAAACTGTAGATAGTATACGACTATTCAATTTGAACTTTCACGTCGATAGTACTCACTTTATTTTTATACATATGCAAATCAGATGACAAGAATTCCACTTTTATGCAAAATAAAGTTCTGATGAAGAGAAGTCCAGTGAAACAGCTGAAATTTTTTTTACTGAAAAAGTACAATTGATAGTGGTAAAATCACTGAACCTAACAGTAATTTATCCATTTGTGAATAATCTCCTGTTCATATCATTCCACATGGTTAATACGCATCATATTTCCGTCCAATATTGTCCATTCTTGGTGTCTGATTCCTTACTAGTCGATCGTTAGCAATTTCGACGTTATATAAACTACTCATATGCATTCTTATATGTAGCCCCCATTACACTGGAAAAGGTGATATTAAATAAAGATCTGATGAAACAAAGTAAAGTGTGGTTACAGATCTTACTAGGAAAAATGAGACTACGCTAAAAACACTTTTTACCATCGGTCAGGACCACGTAGAGATACTCTAAAAACAAAGAGCACCAAACTTCCGCTGTATCTCATTTCTGAAACTTCTCAGTTAAATTTAAGGTGCAAGCTGCATCTGCTTCGATCTTCACGTCCATTGAGTTGAAACCGGAGACCTAATAGCTCATCCTTTCACACTAACCAATGAGCGCCATAATCTGACCATCAAGTCATTAGAAGCATCCGTCGGTACTCCTACCTAGTTTGCCGCTAAAACCAACAAATTTCCATTAGAAATCCGATAAGTCTATCTAAAGTTAATAATCAATCATCACTCGACTGCTATTCAGTAAAGTAGTTTGTGGGGAACTAATTTTTGTGACAATAGTTTTCACCACGGATAATAATAATAATGATCCCACGAGCATAAGGTAAAAATTCCACCTAAACTAATATTTAAGATTATCAAGCACAACAAACTTAAGGTTTGTTTCGTATTACGTTACATAAGTTAGAATATGCATGGTACCTGAGACTATATGAATTGACACTTATTAGTAACCATACCTCGTAAAAGTGTGGCAGCTGTTCCCTTAAAAATACTCCGAAATCCACCTTCACGATACAACTGACGGAAAGCATCAGCCGGTCCCTTGTACTTCACAGATCCACATGAATTAGACTGAACCTGGAAGTAATAGACAAACACAATTATTAGTTAAAACTGTAAAGATTATTTCTTATGCCAGTAACACATGAGAAATGAAAAACTTTTTATGATTTCAACAACGCATTACGAAAACTGTTAAAACTGATAACTACGAATTTCAAACTTCAGACTGATATTCTAATATGATTTAGAATCAATCCTCTCGAATGAAGTAAAATTTACAAGTTAACAACTTCATAAATCTGTGATATATCTTGAGTACCTCAGAGGAGACGTAGTTACGGCTAACAACAAATAAGGTATCTTGTTTGCACATGAATACATCATACTGACCTCCGTAAACGAAATTAATAAACTAAAATGTTGCAAATATTGCGATTTTAGTTACGTTGATGGGTAATGTAGCTGAATCTTAAGAGTAACTCAGTTAGCCTACAACTATATTTCTCATAGTTTAAATCTTCTAAGGAATATGTTGGTGTTTCAAGACGTTCTGGTGCCTGAAGAATGGCATCATTTTTTATCGACTGTAATAAATTATCTCAAGTGCTTACCAAACGATAGCTGATACCTAGAAGTGGTGGTTGGGCAGTCACCCAACTGGCTTGTTCCCGCAAGGTTCTACCATGCTAGAAAGGTCAGTTAGTTACCATTATTTTGTAAATCACTACGCTATGATGAGGGTCTGGCAGTGAAGTCGAATTGCTGGCTGGATGGGGACGTGAAACTAGTAAGATGTTTTTCATGGATGACCAACAGTGCCCTGCTGACGCTGCCTTCCCAATTGGAAGAGGGGTAAGAAAAGGTTGGAAGTAAAAATAGCACTGTAACCCTACCCCGCGATATGGGTCTATAATCGGATTTAACACTGATAAACTTCTGAAAAAAAGCCAGGTGTGACCTACCTCAAGAATATGTTCGTTGGGCTCTATCGTCACTTACCAACGTTTCTTTATCAGATACTTGAAGAAGAACGAGTCACCCAAGGTGCATGCAGTTGGGAAGTGTCAACCACCCTCACAACTCTGTCAGCACTCAAGTTTGTTCGGATCACTGTCTACCTTGCACATCTTTAACTTCTAATCTTTCACGGTCAATATACCTATTCTTATATTACCTTCAACTTCTCCCAGATCTGCAGCTCTCGACAACGATCTCAGTTCACAGAACATCATCACTGGTCTACCGAAGCCAAACTTCAAACTACACATTAGAGCTTTCAACGTTTACACCCTCCCTTAAATCAGTCAACAAGTTTCGCTAACCAAAACTCTAGTACATCAGACTATGCACGTGTGCTGCGCTTATGAGACATACAAACAAGAACCAAGTGCAGTTATTAACTTAACCTCACGCGGTCAATATGGTGATTTTGTAAAGTTCACTCTCCAAGTTTATAGAGATTCGATGGCTTGCTTTCGTGTTTTCGCAGGTTTAAGTACATAATTAGGTGCTAAGGTAGAAAATGCACCGCTTAACTGGATCTAAAACGACAGTCGCCTATGTTCTGTCCGACTGAATGACACAAAGAGGACTCAAAAGAATGGTGAAACCTGTCGCTGTCTTTCTGTAATCTCTGATTACGCACTCAGTGAGTGCAGATGGGGAGAAGTAAAGAATCTGTCCTACTGAAAACTATCTAGCCTCCTCCTACTGGAAGCCAAACGTTTAAACGTGGTTGCTGTAGCAGATGATTTCAATGCATAAATGGGTAGACTAAGTCATACAGAAAGGCACTTAGGTGGCACTTTCGAAATCCCAGCCGAACGAACAGATAACGGCGGTCGCCTGCTACAAATGTGTTTACATATCCATCTTTTTCTGGTCGGCAAGAAATTTAAATATAAAGAGAGGCGCTATTTGGAGTGGTGTCGACCGAACTAAACTCAGGGGTGGACACAGACAGACCAAAAAGAGGGTCGGTGGAAGATTGCCGATACTTCAGGAGTACACGTTTGGACAGCGACTACCCGTTGGTTCGAACATTCGTATGTTTGTGTCTAAATAGTAGTAAGACTATTTCAAGTGCTGATCAATAATAAGAGCAGTAAGATTACTTTCAGCGAGAAATTGATTTTATAATCAGGAGAGGCCTGGTGCCATCTTCAGTCGGCTGTTAAAACAGCAAAGATCATCGCCTATTCTTAGAGAGTGATCAAAAGAGGCCAGTGGGTCTTGGCAGCTTCTTTTGAATTATTGGACGCACGCGAACCCATCAACGCCGACTCCAAACACCATGAAGAGCGGAAGCAACTCAAGTGTAGATTGGCAAGAAGTTTACGTAATGACTGCGAACAGTGATGGACAGTGAAGGTTACAGAAGTGGAAAGACAGCGGTGATAGGTAACACTGGAGTTATTTAGACTTATTAAGGAAACTGCAGCGGAAAGGCGATAGTAGGGAAAGGATGGGTCTGGGGTTTACTCGCAGGTGAGATGACTGGAACGATGGGCGGAACGCTTCGAGAAACAGTCCAAATGGCCTCCAGCTAGTACTACTCTGTCACCCGCTATCTACCCAGATGCTGAATGAAATATCAAGATAGGGCTCCCAACATTTAAAGAAGTGGAAAAGACTGCAGGTAACCTGAAACGAGGAAAATCATCAGGGCTGGGCGCACTAGTACCGGCGGTATTTAAAGATGGTGGTCGAGAATTATTGTTCAAATTAACTATTGTGGCGGTCAGATACTATCACTTCTAACCGGTCTCAATCACTCGCTGTCCCAATCTTTAAGAAACGAGATGCCCTCATGTGATAACCCCAGGGAATCAGTCCCGCGAACAGCACCCAATGTTCCAGTTTCTGTAACTACCAAATGAAGCTTCGGCTCCGCAAGTGCGAGAAAACTATGCAGATTTCAGACCTGGTTGTGGGTGTATCGGCTAGGTTTTCACCCTATGCCAGGTTCTGGGACACAGATACTATTACATCCGACTGACAGTAGCTGCATTTCTCGACCTGAAGGTGGCATTTGGTTCCATTTTCAGTAAAAGACGGCAGTCTGTTATTGAAAAGGGTCCCAGGTAAGTACATTGACTTGTTGAGGGTTCTTGACTCGAATAGTGGTGGGCGTGTTAGAGATTATGGCCAGTCATCAAGTGAATCATATACATCAAGTGGTGTCCATTAAGGGTGTCCACTCTCTCTATTCTCCTTTAATTGTCATAGGATGTACTTATGGAGGTTTTCCCCTCACTGTGACATTATGGAGATTGGTCTTGTCACAGATGAATCCTTAGTATATGTAGAGTATGCAGACAAAATAGTCCTGTCAGCTGAAGAGGCTGTCTTCCAAACACCTTCAGTGGCAACCTGAGCATATTTGGGATTCGCTTCTCAACACCTGCATACAAAATGTTGCTTCAGGACTGGTCTTTACTTATGCCCTGTTTAATAATAGGGGGTGAAGTAGTTTAGCACACTGACCACTTCACTTGTCTGGAAATCCGGATCAGTACTGGTAGGTCAATGACTACAGAAACCTCTGCTCGGATACAATAAACTCGAGTGGCTTCCGCCAACTTACCCCATTTGTGGCGTCACCGTGACATCCGATTATCGATTAAGGGTTGAGTGCATTGCAATGTACTTCTCTTACAATGTATGGTTGTAAAACATGGTTATTCGAGGTTAAGAACATGAAAAAGCTTAGGGTGCTTGACCGTCGTTGCGTTAGTTGCATAGGCTGTCGTAGTGCTACCACGTTGATAATGCAGAAGTTAGGTGTAGATAATAATAAAGTTAGTTGATGGAGTTGTGAAACCCAATCCATTGAGATAGCTGGGTCATGTGTTACGCATGCTTAGTCATCGTCTGCCATGTCCAATAATGTTAAGTGAAGTCGATGCTGAAAAAAGGTTAGACGTGACCAGATTAAAACGTGGAATCACTGCATGAAATCTTTGACTGCTGGTCTGAGCTGTGTGGGAAAATGCAGACCTGGTTAGGGTTCGCATGATATTGTAAACCCATGGTTATAGACAAGGTAGCATAGCCCAGAATCCATCTCACTGGTGCAGTTGTATCCACAAATCATCCTTATGTTAATCATCATACCGAACTCAGTATTTTACTCGTCTTTTCTCTTTCTTCGCTACTTTCTACTCCTCTTGACTGATTCTTCTTCACTGGTTTTTTTCGTCTCAGCGCTTTCTCGCCAGATGTGCTGATATGAGCCGTAGCAAACTGAACCATCATGAATAACTGTTTGGTCATATGGTAATGCTTATGACAAGTGTTCACTTCATTCTCAAATATTAGGTTACTTATCAAGATAAATGAACAGAGGCATATAAGGCTTCATCAGTTAAAGCACACATTTTACGTTAAAAGAAACAACTGGACAGAAAAGAAACATATCAAATACGAGCGCCTGTCGGCATCAAAACAACGAGATTAAGTCTCAAGCATACGTATAACTTACAATAGGATAGAAATCTACGGCTGATGATTTTAGTTGTGTGGAGAAAAATAGACTCATGATGTAGTCTATGCGACAGCCGAAATCAGTAGCTTGGGACTTCGGGTAATATGACTGATAAATGGTCTCAGTATAGCATATATATCGACATATTGTCATTATCTGAACTGTTCTATCACATTTCTTTGTTTTCTTCAATTCTCGCGCTTTTTGTATAGCTTTCTATAACTTTTAATTACATGATTTCCACTTCCTTGTCCTTTTTGTTACTCTGTATTTCTATGAGCTGATGTAGCAACTTAAATCATTACATAGCAATAATACGTTCCATGTTGAATGAAAATACGACCATTTCGCAGAAAGGCTTCATATGAGCATCTGTATAATTAATGCGACTTTTCTATTCATCCCATTTCCTTAACCTGACTTTTGCATGAGTAGGATTTAGAATAGATACTATGACTGCTATAAATTTATAGCATTTCACCACAGGAGAAAAGTACTATCATATCAGAGTGACTGACTTATCCTTTAACTAAACCTCAAAGAAAATACGGTGAATAAAACCATCCTACTCGTAGCCAAACGTGACAGTAAGATCATTTCAGTTTGACAATTATCGATAGGAAAAGATATCTCAGAGAATCAGACAGGCTGAGAACGAAATTCATTGTATTCAAAACACAATAAAAGCGTTTCAACAGGAAAAAGTATGTTTGGGATATGCGTCTCTGATATGGACCGCAATGACGACAGAACGTTAAACTGTATTGTATGAAAAAGAATGGAGTTGCAATTGAGGATAATTAGTTTCATATGTTTATTAAAAAGGCTAATATTGAAAACGATAAATACAGTTCACAAAATAAGCCCTGAGTTATAAGATAAGTAAAGCTATTTGTATTAGGTGCACCACGATCAAACATTGTATCAAATGTTTCATCTAGAATTTTTCTTTGTGATTCATAACACTTGTTATGCTATTCGATTTGAACGACTGCAGCAACGCAAGCCAAAATTAAACACAACAGCGATGCTATATAACGAGAATTCGGGTATTCGCTGTCACCGATGATTTCAAGCTAGGTTTCAGCAAATCAAGGCAAGCTACACAAAAATTAGCGCACAGAAGTATGTAGATTACTCGGCTTATGCAACATTTTCAGGTATTTATAGGGTTTTTAAACATAGCTTCGAGAATGATCTATTGGGGTTGTTACTCATATCTCAATGGATCGAAAGTAGTGTTGCTTTATACGATTGTACCAAGTTTCTCGACAAAAGATTGGATACCTGTTTCAATTAGCATGTTAGTTTGACGTAACACACGAAAAGGGAGCGTGAGTCGAAACTAAACTCACAACTAGAGTGACAATCTAAACTTGACCCGAGAAACACGTTCTGACACTTATCATTTTCTATCTTATTTAAACTAAGGAATTTTATTGCAAGCTACGTAATGCAATTATTTGACTGAGGAACTTTTACATAACCAAACATCTACAAATTCCCATCACGAAAGTATCACTTAAAAACATACGACCACAGCTTGAAAATATACGTTTTTCGCTGCAGAAGCCATATTTGAAAGACGTTGATCCTACCTGTAAAAGGCATTTAATACGCTCTCCTGGACCCAAGATTGCAGTGGTAAAAACACCAGAGAACATTCCAGCCATCAGAATTTCACTTTTCTGTAGCAACATTATCATATGAAAATTTCACATACTTCAGGTGCATTGGATCCCCCGCAAAAATTCGTTTTCCTAAATTAAATCCAAAGAAGCAGATGGCAAAAACAGGTGCAACTCCAGCTATAGGTACTCCCATACCCTTGTACAGACCCGAAATTCCATCAGCAGCTACAGTTTTCTTAATACAATCGAAAGTTCCATGGTACAGGGGCGTTGCTCCTGCTTCGACATACGGCATTGTCTGCAACCTCACCTATTAAAAATTCATTTAAAAAAGTACTTCAACTATCAACTAACTAAACGCCCATAAAATCCTTAGGAAATGAAGACTAAGAAATAAAAACAGAAGTGAAAACCTTGTCCTACCGGCATTTTTATTGATGACCGTGATGTGTACGACAAAAAGCAGGGCAAAGAAATGTTTAAATATCTTGATAAAAAGATGTTTGTTAATTGCGAGTATGTTCATAAACACGTGAGAAGCCCATTTCTTCATGCACGTCTGAAACTAACAAAATAAACAAATAACACAAAATAGTTTCACCTAAATACTTGGATAAATTTCTTTAGGTAAGGAACTGACTAAATTCGACTTAGTTTCCCTACCTCGTATTTTGCTTGCTTCCGCAAAAAGAATAGTGAAAGTATACACTTGCAAATTCTAAAATATCTGTTTTGGTTAAGATTGTCTGTTTGCATTTATATCAGACACAAATAGTGCAGCGCCAGCTGGGAAAAGCAAACAGAAGAGCAGCACAGAAGAGCCTTTCAAAGCATATATAACCCCAGTATTAAATAAATGTTCATACCCAATGGCCGACCAGTTACCAAGTTACATATTTCGAATGACTTAACATCTACTGTAAATCAAATATCAAAAAGTAACTGACTGTAAATTATTTTCATGCATTTTAAGAACTAAACGCTTTCACACTGTCTACGCTCAGAAGTTCAAAAATATCAAGATCCATCACAATTTCTTTCATACATATGAATTGTATACAAATACTACCTAATAACCTATGACTCAAAAACACGTTCCATTAGCGATGACAAGCCACTGACGATCAAATTCACTACAGACTCACAAAAAGCTTCATATCGGCTAAGCGAAAAGTTAGAAACCCATCGCATTACCAAAACTTCTTCAAATTTGAAAATAAGATTAATGTAAAAGTCAAGATGAAAACGTCACGGCTAAGTAACAAATAAATACAAGAAATCCTGGCGTTTACTGTGAAAACAAGCCATCCTTCCACATCAATGCAACAAAATAAACACTCAATTATCCAGAAGCCATAGCACCACTGTTATGAAACCACAAATCTTCAAAGTCTGGATGAATTTACAGTACGACAATCAATTCTTACATGGTCCATCTAGGCAGTCCTGACAGATGGACCAGCTGCCCCCAAGTTGGAATATTCATTTGCCTCTTTAGTACGATGGAGTGATCTTTTCGTAAAATATCACATGCAAAACACCGAATCAGACAGTAATTCAGTTGAGTTGTTGATACTATGCTGTGACGAGTTCGGCCAAGTGAGGAATAGTGAATACTACACCGTTTGCATTTGAAGTCACGTAATGCTTTTCTAAGAAAGTTTATCACTGACGATAATAGGATCGTCCTACTAGAAATACTCTATGGAACTGGGAAAGCACCTTTGATGAGTAACAGAAATGGCTCACTGTGAGTACACATTGAGCAGAAGTAGATGACGATATATCCTACGCAAGCGAACACCGAACTAGGGATGTGGTGGCTTCAAAGTAATTTCAACTGTTCATATTAAGCGGCAATTCACGGAAGTTCTCGCGATGTTTTGTTTCAGTAGGAGCTACTCTTGATCCTTGGGACAGATGAGCAATATTCAGCAACCACACTCATCGCTTTCATTTCCACAGATCTGCTGACCGAAAGGTTTGTCAACAGTTACGAAGCAGCATGCAAATGGATTCTTTGATAAGTTAAGTACACACAGAAACAGATCGTGGGAGCCCTGGCAAAAATCAACAGGACGAACCAAGAGGGAAATCTCAAAGTTAAGAACCTTATACTTTCAATAAACGCTTATTATAATCAAATGATTCAGTAATCACAGCCCAGTAGTGGGCTTACTCTTGCTTTTCGTCAGCTTGGAGAAATACATATCACGCCTGAGGAAGTTGAACTACTTCAAGAGCTTCCGCACAATTACATTTATCAGGTGACAACGGTTACACTGAAAGATATAAATCGTTTCTAGTCGCAAGCAGTGAAAAACTGACCTTTATAGTGTCGAAAGGGTGACCTATTGTAATACAGCATGCGCCTCCAAATCCACCCGCCACAAAACTTTTTATCGGGCTCACAACATGACAGTTCGTCTCGCACATCAGTAAATCTTATGGACCCAAATTTACATCCACGCCGAAGGTCAAATCACTGTCTTCTTAAGCCATGCAAACAATGAACAATCTTCAATGTCTCATGTCATAAGTTCGCCTCAAGTGGAAACTTTCTTTGAAATACACTTCTTGCATTTACACGGGCTTCTCTTTATTTTACGCTCCTCAAAGGATTCATGCTAGACACCCTTCTTTATCCTGGATGAACACCCATTATCCAAAATCCAACATCAATAGTGCGAGTGGAAGAAAATTGTATATTTTGAGCTCTTGCTTCCAGTTATCGGGGCTGGGTTCTCTTGGTCCGATTCTCCCTCTCATATGGTTGCAATTTCATTTAGATTTCACCCGCTTATACCTTTGGAAGTGGTGATTGTTTTTTTGAAGTGTTTTCGCTAATTGTTGCTTAGTTACTTTGGAAGACCAACGGACATGCAGATCAGATAAGTTGAATTTTTGAACGCCGCATCTTTGCGAGCACCTGTGATTAGGTATTTAGTGTTTTTCAAAAACTACTGCCGGAAACAATGAGTATGTAGTGAGGACAAACGAACGAAATGTACTCGTGGAAAAAATCTGGGAAATATGGGGAAGGGATGGTGTCATTGCAGCTCCTTGGCCTGGGGAATACGTAGATCGATGACCGTACCTTCAGTTGCTACCGGAAAATGTTTGTGATAGGCTCTTTGTCCTCATGTACTTATCAGGCATTTGTTTGTGGGAGTCAACTGAGGAAACTGTAGCTACTTCCTTTGCCAGAGCACTCTATAAGGCACGCACAATGAGAAGTTTAATCTCACTCTCATTTTTGCCCAATAGTAGGGTTCCCGCGAGACTATTGGCCTTGGACCGATAATCCTGATCTGTCAGGTTGGTCCGCTTCGTAGACGAGCTTGTAGGCCGTTATTAAGACACCACTTTTCCTCCGAAAGCTCAATGGGAGTTTAGGATTTGTCCTGGTGCGAACTTGACAGACGCAAAGACCAATCACTAATTATTCGAACTTGTTATATACCCACGAATACGAGACCAAGGAAGAACACGATAGCGTAGTCGGATGGAATAGTATATTTGGATGGTTATGCCAAAATACCGATGCGTTCCAACTAACTGGCTAGAGAGTCGAATACGAGCAATGCAACGTAACACGACAGCGTGCCAAATGGCGAGGATGCTTGACCGGGTGCCTTCAGCTTAGCGAGTCCAGTTAAACTATCAAGGTCAGCATCAATGTCGAAGTCGTCAAACCCTAGGCTATTGATTTTGGGGAAGTGTATGACGCTACAGATCACTCCCCCCCTAGTGGGTTCGTGAGGACCCTAAGACGATACCAGCCGGAAGTAAAAACCCAGTGGTTTCTCCACTGGTAAAACTCTCCGATGGGCTCACTGCGTGAGGTGGCCCCTGGTTGTCTGAACCTTATTCTAGGGTGTCGTGGCGATTAAATAAATAAAATACAATAAATGAAATTGTACGTCGGTCGCGGTCATCTGTTCCTTTCGACGTTCCGTCCAGTGCTCGTTGCACCTGGAATATAAATAAAAGTCTTTAATACCACGAAAACGTTGCGTAAAAATGGGAATTATTTATATATAAACGTGTCGAAAAAAAAAATTTACGCTTATCTTCGCCGTTTTTTTTAGTTTTTATTACATGGTAAATAAAAATTGATATAAAAAGGCAAAGTGTACGAGGGTTTGTGTGCCGGTAAATAAGAAAAATAGTGCCTCGAAGAAAAAAAATGGTTGGCACACACACAGCTAAGTTGAATATGACTTCAGGTACTCTGGGAACCTGACGGTTCGACCTGATCGTGTTTTTTGTTGCGCCGCTGGTTGTTGCAGCTGTGCATTACCAGGCACATCGTCGAGAATTTCGATAATTGAGTCATCCGTCGGTCGGATGTAGCGAGCTGAAACGTCACTTACAATGGGGTTGCCTTCGAAATAAGCTGGTTTCAAACGGTCGATACTGACAGTATCTTCGCGTCCGCCTCGCTCAATTACATAGAATTTCTCATGTCGCTTAATCACTTTGAACGGCCCGTCGTAGGGTGGTTCAAGTGGTCGACGAACAGCGTCGTGGCGAACAAACACGTGTGATGTCTTCTGTAAACTGGGGTGGACGAAAACATCAGTCGTTTGCGGTCTAATCGGAGAAGGCCTAACTGAACGCATTGCGTTTGTAAGCCTAGTCACGTAAGATGCCCTGTCGGAAACATGTTTGAAAGTTGAAGGGGAAACAAACTCACCTGGTAGGCGAAGAGTGGTCCCATAGACGAGTTCTGCAGGAGTGCATCCAGCATCAACTTTCAACGCGTTACGAATACCTAGTAGGACTAGAGGCAGAGCCTCGGTCCACTGAGGTATGTTTGTAGCTGAAAGGGAAGCTTTCAGCTGTCGATGGAAACGCTCTACCATGCCATTTGCTTGTGGATGGTAGGCTGTCGTTCGGAACCGAGTGCAACCTAAAAGTGCCGTTAGAGCGTGAAATAGTCCGCACTCAAATTGGCGCCCACGGTCGGTTGTGACGTAGGATGGACATCCGAAGTTCGCGATCCATCTTTCGACGAAAACACGAGCAACTGTTTCGGCAGTAATATCTTTAATGGGTACTGCTTCCGGCCATCGTGTGAAACGATCAACACAGGTGAAAAGGTAGGTACATCCATTAGATTCTGGTAGGGGTCCTACAATATCTATATGGACGTGGTCGAAACGCATGTCTGGGGCTAGAAATGAGCCTAAAGGGCTTTTCGTGTGTCGCGTGACTTTACACTTTTGACAAGCTAAGCACGACTGGGCCCACTCCTTAACGTCTTTGTTCATCCCAGGCCAGCAGAAACGTTGTGCGATAAGCCTAATGGTGGCTCGTACACCTGGATGAGAGAGTTTGTGCAACGTATTGAAGACGTTGCGTCGACAACTCTTCGGAACTATTGGGCGTGGTTGACTAGCAGAGACATCGCACAAAATTGCATCCTTGTCTGATCCAACAGGACAAAGTCGCAGTTTGAGAGTTGTGGACGACAACTCATGATGCAGCTCAAGGTCTTCCTTTTGACGCCGAGCTAGTTCAACGAGATCAATACCCTCGATATAGTTTATCGAAGCTATTCGAGATAGTGCGTCGGCTGCGGAGTTGTTTGCTCCAGAAATGTGGCGGATGTCTGACGTGAACTGGGAAATGTAATCCAGCTGTCGCGACTCACGAGGGAAAAGGTTAACGGTTTGTGGTCTGTGAAAATAATGAAATCACGACCTTCCACAGAATGTCGAAAATGGCGTACAGAACAGTACATGGCTAGGAGTTCCCTACCAAATGTACTGTATCTTGTTTCCGCGTCTTGCAGCCGCCTCGAGAAAAAGGCTAACGGTTGCCACTGGTTGTCAGTCAACTGTTGCAAAACTGCTCCAATTGCTGAATCAGATGCATCAACAGCAATACTCAGAGGAGCATTGGGGTCATGATGCATAAGCATGGTTGCGTTCGAAATGGCTTCCTTGACTTTGGAGAAAGCAAGTCTAGCCGCGTTGTCCAGAGACACGAACTTCGCAGTTCCTCGAAGTAGATCTGTGAGTGGTCTCATGACAGAGGCACAGTTAGGGATAAACCTTCGGTAATAACTTACCAGGCCATTGAAAGTGCGGAGATGTTTCACAGTGGTCGGCTCTGGATAGTTTGTGATAGCCGCCACTTTATCTCTCAATGGGCGTATACCTTTGTTGTCAATGGTATGCCCAAGGAAGCTGAGTGATTCAACTCCTATTTCACACTTCTGTAAGTTAACTGTGATGCCATGTTTTTTGAGTCTTTCGAATGCGAGGTCCAAATGTTTAAGGTGTGTTTCCTTATCTGGACTCGCAATTAGACAGTCATCGATGTAGACATGAACAAAATTCAGACCACGGAAGACGTCGTCCATAAAGCGTTGGAATGTTTGTGCTGCATTCCGAAGACCAAAAGGCATGCGCAGGAATTCAAACAGGCCAAAAGGAGTAATAATGGCTGTTTTCGCGATATCTTCTGCTGCCATAGGTATCTGGTTGTACGCTTTGACCAAGTCGATTTTCGAGAAAATGTTCATGCCGCATAAGGTTGCGGTCAAGTCGTAAACGTGAGGTACAGGAGCAAGCTAGATTGTCGGAGGCTTTCAGCATATTTCGCTAGATGGTCCAAGAGACGAACCTGTCGCTCTTCTACATACTTTCATTAGAACACTTCCACTTCTCGTTGGTAAGGGGGCATGCAGCCGTGTTTAGTAACTCTACGTGTGGTCTTACATAGGGAATTGACCAGGGGTAGACTACCTGAGCTGCCTCCTTAATAGGTCCGCGAAAAAAATTGAAAAGTATTACAACCAGTGCATTGAGGTCAATAATCTTCAAAGTCTGGATGAATTTACAGTACGACAATCAATTCTTACATGGTCCATCTAGGCAGTCCTGACAGATGGACCAGCTGCCCCCAAGTTGGAATATTCATTTGCCTCTTTAGTACGATGGAGTGATCTTTTCGTAAAATATCACATGCAAAACACCGAATCAGACAGTAATTCAGTTGAGTTGTTGATACTATGCTGTGACGAGTTCGGCCAAGTGAGGAATAGTGAATACTACACCGTTTGCATTTGAAGTCACGTAATGCTTTTCTAAGAAAGTTTATCACTGACGATAATAGGATCGTCCTACTAGAAATACTCTATGGAACTGGGAAAGCACCTTTGATGAGTAACAGAAATGGCTCACTGTGAGTACACATTGAGCAGAAGTAGATGACGATATATCCTACACATGCGAACGCCAAACTAGTTATTCGGAATTTCGTGGCATTCATTTCATTTTTTTTGTTTATATATTTGACAGGTCATAATTGAGCATTTGTTTATTCCTGCTCATGTCAAAATCTTCCTAGCCCTATTTTGAACATCATGTCGTGGTTTACGCCCAGCCTTACCTCTTGGTACTTACAGATTCTGGCGCTGGTGG